TAATATTTTTAAATAGAGAAATATTAATTTTATTAAATTATTTCGTATATATGTAATATTTATTTTTATATAGAAAGTATTTTTAATATATTTAATAAATTTCCCATTTCAATCACTTTTTGCAGAAAGCCTTTATACTTAATATATCCTTAAAGATATTAGAAAGTTAATATAATTACAGAAACAAAAATTTATTAATAGAAAATTGCACTAATTCTGCAAAGTAATGAAAAATATTTATTTCGATAAAAAAAGAATAAGTAATTGATTAGAATAATTAATCTAGAACCTAATTACTTCTGTCGAATAAGATAAATGCCATTGCGGGAAACAATTAATTAAGACAAGTAAATCAAAATTTATCTACATTGATCTAATTCCTGCGGTCAGTTCTACCATAATATCTTGACTAATTAATTTTTGCACGAATGCAATGCGTGAAATACACGCGATCTTATTCTACGATCTTATTCTCTCACGTAGTCTCATTCTCATTTTTAGATTTAATGTGTGCAATTACCAAAATGTTTTTTTTTATTATTCTTTATCTTTTATTTTTTAACGTGGCTGCTGTGGTCGATTTCACAATCGTTGAATTGGACTGATTATATATACGTAGTTTTTGTTTAATTTTTGTATGTTGATTGTTTAATAAAAAGCTTATTTTACTTCTACTTCATCAATTATTCCTGAATAATTTCAATTTAATATAACGTAAACTTTAAACTTGGAAACGCTGATTCTTCTTACTTTATCGTACTTTATAGCAGAGAATCTTATCCTCCGAATTTTCCGAATCTCCTTTTTTCTCAATACTCTTCTTTCTTTCAGAATTCTTCAAAGTTATAAAATTCTTCTGGCAACGAAAGATCTACCAAAGCCATTTTGGAGGATCTTAAAATAATTAGTACATTTATTTATATTAGTATATTTATTAATAATATACCGATAATATACTGTGTATCCACATATAAAGGTTTACGAAACTTATTTAACATTTTTATATTTTTACATTTGCACTTTTGAACTTCAAATCGAAAAATAGAGAAGATTGTTTATGATCTTCAATTGATTATAATAATATAACTCTCGAGTAGTAAATTCTCAGCATGAATGCGTCTACTTGGTGCTACAGATGTTTCGAATTAATTGATTAATTGAAAGAATTTTATTAATGGATTATTAATTAAAAAATACTTTGTAGCATTTACAGCCTTTATCCAATGCCAAGGTCTTTGCATTTTTGTTTATCGTTGATAGTTAATACGAAACTCCACATCTTTCAAGCATGCGTCTACTTCATCAATTACTTTCGAATAATTAATATTTTCTATAATATTAAGTTGGAATCGAAGAACATTCATCTCTTTTGCTTTATTGCAGGAATTCTTCAAATCTTTTAAATATTCTTCTTGTTTCCAAAATTTGTTAGATATATTAAATTCTTCTGGCAATAAGAGATCTATTAAGAATATATTCAGGATTGTGAAATAATTTATAAAACGTTCATATTAGTATAGAAATGAAAAATGTAAGCGTCTAAATTATAAACCATAATATTTTGAAAGATACCATGGTTTGAAATGTATCATTTTTCTATTGAAAAATTTCACAAGTAAAACATTTTTATAAGTTTTAGGAATAGTTTAATCTTATTAATCTTGCGCTTTTCAATTGGTTTAGTTGGTACAGTTGAGATTAATACGGTTGTATTAATCTTAGATGTAGAAGCTTCAACTGATTCAGTAATATTGGTTTTGAGTTTATAATCCATATAAGTGAACTGATCGATTACTTTCGATGAATAACTTCCCTCGTTGAGCAAAGATATATTCACTTTGGAAGGAACTTCCAAGTACGATTTCCTTTGTATTTCTATCATCGAGCTTTGATCTTTGAGCTTTGATTTATTTTGAATTAATTTATCTTCTTCTTCTTTTTCAATGATCTTCGGTGGAAAACTCGATTGATTCGCGCCCAAATGGAGGTCATTAGATGAAACTCCTTGCATTATCGGAACTGAAGTTATTGACATCTTCGTTAAACGTATATTCACAAATATAATGAACACTATTGCCAGGGATAACACTGCAACCAAACCGGAAAATATGTGTAACACGTTGCGTGATTGAAGTAAATTCTTGCAGTAAATCTTTGTTAATTTTTTGTGTAATGAAGAAGAAGTAATCTTACTTTTTTCTTCCATTTTTTCAACCTTTCGACCGTGAGACGCACCGTGCAAGACCTTTCAAGAATATTGAAAATTTAAAGTATATGAAGGTGTTTTTATAGTTTCGTGAAGTCTATGACGAGAAGCAATAAATAAAACCTTTATCTTAGGAATGAGAATGGTTTGTTTTGACGACGATATGAAAGCTTTCTGAAGAATCAATATTAAATGGAAAACGATAAGTAACCCAATACCTAAGAACATTAATAAAAGAAAGAATTTTCCATTGAATTTTCAATTGAAGCAGATGCTTAGAATGTTTTTATAAATTTAGAAATACATTTTTCAGTTTTATAAATTACGTGCCGATTCAGTTTATTAAAAATTTTGCAACGTTTCAAGATTCTTATTATTATTATTGGATTAACAAACAATGTAATTTGTATTATTTTGAACTTTAATTTATAATTGCGTTTTAAGTTTAATTAAAAAAACCGAATCGACGCACAGTTTATACAACTGAAAAATATATTTAAAAATTTACATATAAATATTATTAATAAGTATCAAGTACCTCTTAGACCGAAGTAACGTTTTATCTTTGAAGAAAACTCTTTAAATTATTAAATAGTCTGAAAGCTTTTTGGTATACGATAAAATACTAAAATAATAAAATGTTTTCATATTTATCATCTGATATAATAGAAACATAATGGATGTATAAGTACTTGAAGTAATTTTTGTTTTTACAATATATTTGAATAAGAAATCTAGATACAATGCACAAACTGATTAACAACATAATTAGTTATTTCCAAACATGAAATCCATTATCATAAAATAAAGTAATTTTGGCCTAAAATTACTTACTCGGGATAACTTTAGTTCAAACATTTAACAATGCCCAGACAGCATACATGTTCTAAATCTGAACATAAGACATCTTAAAGATGTTCTTTTGTGTCTTAATTTTGAATATATGTATTGTCTAAGTATTTTTAAAAACTTGGATCAAAGTTATTCCACGCGTCGTAATTTTTTTTAAACTTCCAATTGCAATTAAAATATGTTCTTTTATTTTCTAGTCTATTCTTTTATTTTTTCTAATTTATTTTAAATAGATGAATATAACTTGTTTAAAGAGCCTTCAAGAATTAAAAGAGTAAATATTTTTAGTTGATAATACTGATAATATTATACATCAAATTTTTATTTTATTAGTAATATTAAATATTAAAATATTTTTCGTGCTTGGAATATCAATAAAATAAAAATATCCTCTAAATACAATACATTTCGTATAATTCCAGAAATATTCAAAGTTATGTCGGTAGTTTTCATATTTTTTCAAAATATTAGTATTTACAATCG